ATATATATAAATATTCGCCCCCTCCAAAAAAAAAAAAAAGGATTTTTTTATTTATTAATCCGACAGATTTTATCAGTTAAACTTTATTTTTAGTGGATACTCATATGCGAGTAGACGTTCTGTTTATTTTTTAAACAGTATATTTATTTATTTTCGTCTGCCGATCTGAATGTTCGAGAAATCTTATTAGAGAAAAATATGTTCTCTTCGAGCAGGATTCGAACCTTTGGTCTTCTCGGTCCCGGAATAGTACCTTTAAACACAGATTTATCTCTGACTCTCGAAATAGAAATATCTGCTCATTTTTTTTTATTCTAACGTCAGTAAAGCAATTTCTAATATTATATATTTTAATTAGTCTTAAACCACACACACACACGCATATATATATATATATATATATATATATATATATATATATATATATATATATATTAAAGAAATAGTCATTCAAAGAATAAATTAATAAAATTAATGGCGAATTCACTTCGCTAACAAAATGGATTAGATGTTCGGCCCATATTGCAAGTACTTTCGGTAAACATATACCATCCTCAGACATAGGTCATCTAATGTACAATTAATAAAAACTGGGATCGCGTCGGTCAACGAGTGAGTTAATGCCTTATTTGATATGTTAGCGAAGTGAATGCGGCATTAATTATATTAAATTTATTGATTATTCTTTGAATGACTACTTCTTTACAATATTAATTATGCTGCATTATTTAATATATATATAGTTATTTTCCAAGGATAGCTTAGATATGGCACAAGGCCGAAAGTATGGGGCATCCAGTTAGGATCGAACTCACTTTTCAGTTGTAACTGATAAAGCGAGACAAGGTTGCTAACCATTACACCACGCCGAGGTTGCGATATTACTTGTCAAAATTAATGATCAAAGAGATATATATATATCTTTGATCATTAATTTTGAGGAAAAGTAATATCGCAATATATAATATATATTTATATATATATATATATATATATATATATATATATATATATATATATATATATATATATATATATATATATATAGAGAGAGAGAGAGAGAGAGTTTCAATGTCAAAGAGAGAGAGGGAGATAGCGGGAGTGAGGATTTATTTGAGAATTCATTTTTAGTGGTCCTTAAACATTATGCGGCCTGTGTCAAATTCTAACCTATCATTTCTTTCAGACGTATAGATAGCATTAACTTGACGACTTTCACTCTAACATAGGAAATAACAAACATATTGAAAGCGGCCATATCCTTCGTGTTCAAAGCCGGTGAGGACGTGTCATCAGTTGGCTACGAGAAAGAAGCATTCTAAGCACCCGTAAGCACCCTAAGCGCAACGAGTCACTTTCCTGGAGGTTAGCATCAGCCATGCTAATGGAAGGTAGAGAAAGATCTCTCAGATGATTAATGGGGAGTAGAGAAGGACAGCAAGAACGAAATGTGGCTCTCCACAGATCCCAAGACGAAGTTGTACAAGTTAATATTGTCTGTAATAGCCCTTGGAGTCCTTGAGTCGTTTCATACTGTCCAACTTTTGCCGCAAGACGTCAAGATTAACGCAGCTGTTTTCATAGAGGTGCTAGTTACAGTGGTCAAACCCTGGATTGGCCGTACGTTTTCCAGTAGAGTTTTGCTCCCTCCTACACGGTCTGCACAATCCAAATGTGACTACCTGATGATTTTCACAATCATATAACCCCTAACATTGGTTATATAACTCTGCAGATCTGTATCCCGTCGACTACCATATCCGGATCATCGTTGAGAGGAAGACCATTTAGCGACTCTGCCACAGAAAGCAGTTATCTGACAATGGAGGAGTATAGAGGCGGGCAAACTTTTATTACTAGTTTTATGTTTTAAAGTGGGTGAAGCTTAATGTAATTTTATAGAGACGGGACGTAGATACTACACTGTTAATGTACCGATTTTTCCTGGGAAAATGAATAAATTAAGGTTTTTACATGTGATTTAAACATTAAATAATCTTTGATCATTAATTTTGACAAGTAATATCGCAACCTTACAAGGCTGTTTTCATTTTTCATACCACGGTATCTTTGTTTCGAGGAAGCCCCGAAACATACAAGAAGCTCTTAACGTTTGAGTTACCAGGAACTCATCAGTTAACAGAAGCCCGAATCGTATTTTACAAACCTATCCATCTATCTCTCTTGATCTTAACAGAACGGCGCTAGGGGCTATACAATCATAAGCAAAGAGTGTTATTAATTAATAAAAAACACACCATTTGTAAACTTCCAGTAGCAGCAACAACAAAAATGAGTAGCATATGGACCTGGAAGAGATAAGAATATAATCAATCCTGTTTTTTTTTTAAATAAATGTTCGCCTTATACAAGGTCAAAAATCCACACAAAGTAGAAGTTACCGAATGAAGTTGTTGTAGGACGTAAGAGGAATATACCAGATAATTAGACCTTTTTTTGTCAGACACGCATGCGTTGAAGACCTTGTTAACAGCAGCAACCCTTTTTTAGCTTTCACACCGCGTGGAGGTTGTGTTAGGACACGAAAATTGGCGCACCCCTGTAACAGTCATACACGGCATAGACAATGCGCCTCAGTCACTCTTTAACTCACCAACAGAGTAAGTTCAACTATTTCTTCATTTTTCTTTACAGAGAGTCTCTTAGGAACATTCCCTGAATTTGCCCCTTTTTTCAGGAACTATAATTGAACTTTCTTTACACAAAAAATGTTATTCTACTAGCTTTTTTTTTTAATCTATTTTCTTACCCAATTCAACACTTGTAGATTTTGTTGGTCGACACACAACAGCATCTCAACTGTGGAATTTTCATATTACCTTAAGCAAAAGTTAAGGAAACTCCTAGAAAGAACGATAACAGTGGACTTTAGAAAACTAATTTCTTGTAATTTCGGGCAATGTGTACTTGGGCTCAGTAGCAACTCAGCAGTACTAAAAACAGGAACTAGACGAGATATCCCTAGAACGAGAAGAGTCTACCCCGATTGATTAAATAAATAGTTCTGTTCAGAATTCTCTGTAGGTTAACTGGAACACTCGACACCTGATGAAAGCCGGAGGGTACAACGGCCGAAACATCGTGATAACAACAACAAAGATAAGGACAATAGTCCGAATGTAAATAGTGTAAATAAAACAGGTTTTTCAGCTTCGGGATCGGAACAAAATATCGATGGTCGAAAGGAGCGCCATTTTTTTACGGGGTTGTCTTTATTCTAATGCTGTGAGTCTGCAATATTATTTATGTGTGGACATCTGGACAATCTTGTGGGGACATAAAGACTTGTCAGCACGTTCTGGCTACCCATTTGCAGTGACGCGCATGACATAAACTTGTATAATAAAGAATTCACTTATTTTTGTGCCGTGTCTCTTTAAGAAGTCGTCGATCATGGCTTTCCACGTCTTACTATGCTTTGCAGCTTTTAGCAAATTTGTCTTTTTAGTAACCCCTCCATTTTTTGTTTTGCTATCCATTTACACAAGCTTGTTATGTAGGTTAGTCGTTATTTCACTCTATTCTGCTAATTTTGTCTTGTGAGTGTCAAAATTTCCAAGCCCTTTTTCCTCATTATCCAACCCACATCCAAAACAAAACAAAGCAAAACAAAATCGCCTCTCATTCTAAGTATAAGTGTTCTTTTTGTTCTCATTTTCCTTAAAACTTCCTCGTTGTTCACATGCTCTGTCCACGGTATTCTCAGCGTTCTTCTGTAGAACCACATCTTTGTCGCCTCAAACAAAAACGAAAACAGTTTTGATGCACACTAATATATTTTGTTTACTTTATTATTAATGATTGTTTATATTGAATATATATATATATATATATATATATATATATATATATATATATATATGTATGTATGTATGTATACTAGTTGAATTACCCGCGCCTTGCCGCGTGTCACACTTTTTTTTTGTAAGAAAATGATTAATTTTAAATCATTGTTATAATTTGCGGAAAAAAATGATGCATTTCAATATTACTAAATGCGACCTCCATCTTCTGGCTTTCTCCGTCTATATTTTGGGTAGGAGTCATTTCCTTGTTCAAATTTAAATCAAAGGAAAAATTCAGTTGGGAGTGCAAAAACAGCTTCATCTGACCACTTTGATATGTATTTGATTCAATACATAATTGAATAAATTGATGAGCAGATTTCAACATTGATATGACAGTTGAATTGTCGCAACAAATATGTATTATAAGGCACTACCCACTGATTGGTGATTTCTTGCTCAACTTGACGTCCGTATTGTCTCATTTTGATCTTGCCGATTTGACCCCCATCTTCTGGCTTTCTCCTACTACATTTTGGATAGGAGTCATTCCCTTGTTCAAATTTAAATTTAATTTAAATCAAAGGGAAAAAAATCAATGGAGGGGTGTGCCCCCTTTCATCAAAATGAAATATACTTATTCAAGTACCCCGAGTAAGTTACAAAATATATATAGTTATGGGGAATGTATCTCCAAAACCCTAGGAGGAGTTCGATAAAAAATAAACAGACAAACAGAGGCTATAACTTTATATTTATATATAGATTTGCATTATGGGGTACTTTTGGCTATAGTTCAATGATAGAGATTGAATTGAAGATTAAAATACCTGTTTTTGCCCAGAGGTTGTCACAGACGTATGTCTATAGGTTTCTTCTAGGCGACCAGCCAAAACTTGTAAAACTGGTTACATCCTAAAGATATATACATGTTTGTATACTTATTTTAGGCTAGAAAGTCAGTTGGTAATAAGTCAGAAGTTTATTTTTTATAAATACAATAAACATATTATATTATATAATCTAAGCTTTTAAAAAAAACACATAAATATGCATTTCACAGAAGTTAAGGATATTTTGCGTTTAATCTATTAATGCCTAGCGTCCAATGTTGAGATCAGTGAACATTAATGGATTATAGTTAGAAACACAATAAAAACAGATTTTAATTTTAATTCTTATAATTCATACATTATGTCAGTATATGTCAGTATATCTATCTATCTATCTATCTATCTATCTATCTATCTATCTATCTATCTATCTATCTATCGCATTTATATGCATATATATATGTATATAAATATATGTATATATATATATATATATATATATATATATATATATATATATATATATATATATATATGTATATGTATATATGTTTATATATATATATATATATATATATATATATATATATATATACATTATAGAAAAAAAAAGAAAGAACAGTAAGATATATAATCTGGTGTTCTTTTTTGATATTTTATTTTTACAAAACAGTGCTCAATTTAAATTTACAGCAGCATATATATATATATATATATATATATATATATATATATATATATATATATATTATTAATTGATTTAAAATATGGTTTTTCACTACACAGTTCTAACCATGTTTCAAAATGGAAGCTAAAGTTTCGAATTTAATTTTGTAATTAAATTAAAACATTAGTTCCATTTCATCTTCAAGCGAATTTTACATATTTTATATATACTTATATATATATATATATATATATATATATATATATATATATATATATATATATATATATATATATAAAAGCAACAATTTTATTTGAGAAAAGACCAAACTTGCAATATTCTTTTTTTTAGCAAACTATAAATTGATTTAAAATATCCTACGATATCTTATGTTTAATGTGAACAATCACGACATTTGTTTGTAAAAAATACGTGTATGACATTAACAGATATATTTTCTGCTCTCTTAATTATCGTCATTTTACAATCAAATTTTAAACACTTGGAAAATTTACTCGTTGAACGCACAATGACATTCGAAGTTTTAGCAAATACTACATAGTACTTCAGTATGGATAAATTAACTATGCTTCCGAGCCAGGTTCAGGTTAGTATAACACGACCTTCAACTTTAATGCTTCAAGCGTCCTTGATATTCATCCTAAACCCTATGACTTTGTGCTATTCAAAACGTAAGTTGCCACGTATTTATCACGTAACACCAGGCTGGTAGCTGTGCACATAAAAGGTATGGGCGTAGTAATCTGCTTGCGTTACTAAAAATAACCCATCGTATCTGTTCGGACGTTATTCTTAAGATAACGCTGGGACATTTTTAGTACTGAAATATGCACATGTAAAGATGTAAAAATTAAAAATAAAAAAAACAAAACAAAAAAAGAAAGAAAGAAAAAACAAGCATGATGCCATTATAGTACTTTTTTTATAAAGCAAAACATTAATGAAGAATAAATTATATATATATATATATATATATATATATATATATATATATATATATATATATATATATATATATATATATATATATATATATATATATCATACATACATATATCATACATACATATATGTATATTTACCCCCAAATGCATGTGTATGTACAGGGGAGATCACTCTTGAAAAATTTACGATTGGGTAATCTACCTTGAATATTCTGTCTCTCCACCGCTAGATGGCAAATAGCAGCAGTCAGGCAATTACGTGTCAAGGTACTTGAAACCGTTGCAGTCTGTAGCGCAGTCGGCTAGCTGTTTGCCTCAGAGACAAGTTCAAGGTAATTCAGTTGGTAAGTAATAATCATCATTAGATCAACTTTCAGATTTTGTTTTTCAAATTAAGATGGTTTTCTTTTTACATGATGAAGTCACCAGTTTTAATATTTTTAAAAATTGCATGTTTTTTATCCGTTTTAATTCTGCATATAGAATTCAGGCATTCGACTTTCACTATGCTAATCACCTTGTCCTCTGCCTTTTTTTTTCTCAAGGTCGTTTGCTACTTGTCACCCATCATGAAAGTTAGTAATAATACTAACTGTGATTTTTTTTTTGTTTAACATTTAAATTTTGTACTACCTATTTTATTTTTGAATGAGTTTTAAATAATAGAAAAATAATTTCTTTTAAAAATAAGGTGTTTAAAAATTTAATAATAACGCATTTTTTTTTTTTAAAAAAAAATTTATTTGCCGTCAGTTCGCGCAAATATTTTTTTATATTTGCTTTCGAAAATTCTTTTTATTATTATCTCAATTATTCTATCAAGTAAGTAATAATGATTTTCTCATTAAAATTAATGAAAAAAATATAAAGAAATTAAAAATATTATAATTTCTTAATGTTACGCTAATTTTCAAAATATTCACGCAGTTGATTTGCATTTTGAGGGTTAGCGCAAAATGTTTGTATCTTAGAGGAATGCAAATATTTCTGTGTTTTGTACACGGTTTCATTTTATTTATTAATAAGTAGATTTTGAACATTTTCATGCCTATACATTTAAGCTGTCATTGTACAGTTAGTGAGAATTCCCAAGTCACGTAGCTACCCTCAAGTTTCCGTTATCTTTTTGACAAATGTCAAGGTTGTTTAAACACAATCCACTACATACAATATACGAATGGATGTGTATTTTTTTTTTTTTAACTGAATAGTTATTGTTATTTGAAAAATATCTTAGCTGTTTTAAAAGTTGAAATTTCTAGTTAGTGAAATAACAAGGGATTGAGTGCTAAGATGTTTTGTCTCGATAAAACTACAATTCAGGATCTTGTTCTTCATTATGTTTTATGTGCAGCTAAAAATAAACGGGCACCATTAAAACTTTATTCTCAGCTTTCAAGAATTAACGAGACGCTTTTTTCCCCAACTTTGTTCTCCGCGTACACAATGTCAGATTGCTGTACACAATAAAACAACCCATCATAAATTTAACCTGAAAACTTTACTAACGTCGGTTGGTTAATCCTATTTTTTTTATGGAATCAATAAACTGCATAATAAAATAAGACGCAGTGAATTATTAAGTGAACATTAATATGGCGTTTTTTTTTTTTTTTTTTTTTTTTTTTTTGCCTCTTAGCATGCTGCCTAGTATTTTTGATTTTCGATTTTTACAAATTCCTTTAGCTCAGCAGACCGAAACAAAATCCAGAAAATCTAGTTTAGTAGTTTAGAGACTATTACACTAAAACGCCAATTGATATTTACTGCCAAGTGTAAGTAGTTTAACCAGTGGTAAGTTGGTAAGATTTTCAGGATAAACCGTATGTTTTAGCTTATAATATCTAACATTATTAAAAATATTTTCATAAATTAATACATAAATAAATAATAATAATAAATATTGTATAATAAAACCAGACACTCCTAATACAAACTTGTTTTAGGGGTATCAGGTTTTATTATGCAAACATTCTAAAGGAAACCGTGGAAATAAAATAAGCACATCCCATCCCCCCTCTATCTTGTAACCTTCCATTTATAAGGAAATAAACGCTTTTTCAGTGCTAAAGCTGAATTAGTCAAATAAAGCTTCATAATATTCTACTTAAAGATGTTGCCATATTACAGTAACATACAATTTAATTAATAAATAAACCCTAAACGTATAGACTATATATATATATATATATATATATATATATATATATATATATATATATATATATAATATGTCCTACATACCTGAATAAATTACTATTTTGCATGTTAATATAGAATCCCTTTTCATTTCCTAACTTCAATCTGTTCTGTTTACATTTTGTTGTTTAGACTAACATTTTCTTGTAGCAGTTTTTTTTATTGCATTCCAGAAATCATCTTTGCTTGATTTTTGCTTTTATTCTCATATACCCTGACGTGTCAAAAGTCAGTATCGTGAATGAACTCCCTTATCCTGGCAAAGTGCACTAACTCGATGGGGCATCGATTTTTACAAGTGGTTTGGTAGACCTTTGGAGAAATGCTGAGCTATGTTGTCACGATAGCTGTCTAGAGCTCTAGTATTTTGCGCAAAGCCTTGTGTGCGAATAGGCCTCTCCACTACATCCTATAGATGCTCCTGTCGAGCAAACGTAATCCGAAGTCATCAGAATATTCTCTTAACCAATTCTTGTTCCGATGTCACAGTGCTTTATCTCGTTGGAATGACCAATTGTTGGGATACACGGAGTCCATGAATGGGTGGAAATGATCACGAAACAGTGCAACATAGCGGTCACCGGTCAATGACATGTTTAAGGTGGAACAGGGGACCGAACCCATGTCACGTGAATGCGCTATAGAGCTACCATGATTCTACATAGAGCCTTGTTGACAGCTGCAGTCCATTCAAACCCTATCATCAGTCCGGAACAATTGTAATTATAATCATGCCACACGTTGCCAGTCCCGCAGGTTCCTATTAGCGACGTTATGAGCGCAGTTGTGTATTCTGGTGTTAATATGGGCATTTTGGTGGATTGAAGCTAAACAAAAGTGAACTAACTCACTGGCTACGCGTCTGTTACCTCCTGCCTTGAATGTCAGTGTATCATTTGTTTGTTTCCACAGCCATTTCTAGCTAGACATTTTTGTTCAAGATCGTTAAAGACACGTGGTCAGTCAATGTCCTGTCCACAGACAGCAGTAATGCCTTGCATTAGGTATTCTCATAGATCGAGGGACATGTCCAAACTCCAATAATTCACGTCACAAAGCCATAAACAGACTAGCCGGTGTTCACACTGATTCACCTGATACAAAAGAACAACTGACAGAGGCCTGGATATTTCGGTGACACCAAGGTACGATGGCGCCATTTAATATTACTTTTAAATACTGTAATCATATGACTTTTGGCACGTCAATTTACCCTTCTTTTAATGATGGCTCATAACTTTATTAGACAGGCTTGGTGTCAACCTATTAATTTGGTGTTTCTGAAACTTTTTTTTTCTACAATGTCGTCAACAGCCAGCCTTGCACAACATGAACGAACACTGTCTTGCATGAAGATACACTTAAAGCTTAGCTTAAAAATTTAATGGTTGTGACCTGTTTATCTGTCTGATCGTCTTCAAGCGAACACTTCTGTTCAAGCATTTTTGTCATCCATATTTCTGCCCAGTTTTTCTTTCTGATTCCTGTGTCGTTTATAAATGGATAGATGATGGTTCTTGCTGGTCTACTTCTTGATCTTTCACCAATATTTGGTATTCCATATCTGATTAATAACTTCTTTCTTACTTCCCCAGCAATTGCTACTGAAATGCACTCTCCTTCCACAGATTGTATTCGTGGTCTTTTTTATGTTCTTATATATAGTTTTTTGGCAAACATGGATAAACATGCCCGAAAAAAAAGGCGTAATGTCAAAAGGACGGTTTTTCCAATAACACCGCTTTTCGCTCTTCACCAATGTTTACTTTTAAAAAAGCATTATTAGAATTGGAATAAAACTTAAATGTACGATGGAAGTGAATTGATACATTTCTTTTATTGTTCTTAAGAATTTAAAACAAAAATATTAACAGCGAGAGAGAGCATATGTTTGGTAAACATGGATAAACGTGCCCACAATAAGACGTAGTGTTAAAGGGACGGTTTTTCCCATAACATCGCTTTTATTTTAACTATTTTAACACTTCACTAAGGTTTATTATTTTAAAAAGCGATGACGTAAACATATGATGAAAGTGAATTGATTCATTTTGTTTTGTTCTTGAGGATTTACAACAAAAACATTAAACATTATTTATAAGATTATTTATTTACAAGAATAATTTAATATTTACAACATTCTAAAAACTTATACATTCAGAACTAATGCAATATTTATCATTTACCAATTTATAAAGAAATAAATGTGAAAAAAATTTTTATTCATAAATTTATAAACATCTTGATGATCAGAGATTAGCAGCTGATTTCACATCCGATGTAGCACTGACTTACCGCGGGGAAGGTGTGGTGGTGGTGGAAACTGGCTGATTACATTCAATGTCTCGAAAACCAGAGTAGCTACATTCCACCATGGCCGATCGGACCCCGAATTACCACCAGTCACCATGAACGGATGTCCCCCTCAAGAGGCTTAAACTCAAAAACTGACCTCAAGCAGAACTCGTACATACATCGCTAAAGAAAGATGTAGGTAAAATAGTCAGCTCCCTGTACCGCTTCAGTAAGTACCTGACACCTCAAACTATCTTAGACCTTTATAAGAGGCAAATCAGGCCGAAAATAGAGAACTGTTGTCATATTTGGTTTTTCGAGCCCGTAGGCTTGGCCCAAAAATGCCCGTAGAAACTGTAAAAACAGAATCGGGTTGGTCAACCTTCCCGAACGAGGCTCCGCCCTTCGGCGGGGCCTCGTCCGGGTTCCTCTCTGCTCAGAGGCAGAGAGTTCGACCGTCAAGCCGAGAAGCTCGGCTTGATTCGGTATCTAGCCACCCCCACGAGGGTTGCATGTGGCATAAGGCCGAGTTTTTACGTGGGTTTCCCGAGCACGTAGGCTCGGCCAAAAAATGCCCGTATAACCCGTATAAACGAGATCTGCCCTTCGGCGGAGCCTCGTCCGGGTTCCTTTCTGCTCAGAGGCAGAAAGTTCGACCGTCAAGTCGAGAAGCTCGGCTTGATTCAGTATCTAGCCACCCCCCCACGAGGGTTGCATGCGACACAAGGTCATTTTTATCGTGGGTTTCCTGAGCCCGTAGGCTCAGCCAAAAATATGCCCGTATAACTCGTAAAAACGAGATCGGGTAGGTCATTTACCCCGAACGAGATTCTGCCCTTCGGCGGAACCT